GAAGACTATATTTATAGTCTAAGGTTTTTCAAAAAGAGGAAAAAAGCTCAAATAGAATATTATGGGCCCTCTTCAAAATAAAGTGGGCAAATAGAAAGTTATGGGCCCTCTTCAAAATAAAGTGGTCAAAAAGAAAGTTATGAGTCATTTTCAAAACAAAAAGGCCAAACAGAATATTATGGGCCTTCTTTAAAATAAATTGGAAAAGAAAAAAAAATAATAAAAAAAAACAAAAATAAAAATAAAAAACAAAATCAATGTCTCCTTCTCCAAGTCTCCTTGGACATGGGGCATTGGGGGGCAAATGATGGGTTAAGCCCAAATAGTCCAATTTATGTGTTAAAGTCCAACCCCAGTTGAGGAGCCCAACCTCATTTTGATTCCACCAAGCCCAAGACAGTCCGAGACCGGTTAGACTTCTTGCTCAGCACGTCATCAAGAGGAGAGCACGGGAAGCTTATCTGCACCACCAAAGGAAACGGTCCAAATCCACCAAGTCCAAGACCGGTTAGACTTCTTGCTTAGCACGTCATCAAGAAGAGAGCACGGGAAGCTTATCTGCACCACCAAAGAAAACGGTCCAAATCCACCAAGTCCAAGACAGTCCAAGGCCGGTTAGACTTCTTGCTTAGCACTTCACCAAGAGGAGAGCACGAGAAGCTTATCTGTACCACCGAAGGAAACGGTCCTATCTTTGACCACGTTTCATTAAGAGCTCCCCAACCTCCTCCTTCCATTGAGGATAAGTCGTGATCTCCACAAAGAATAATCTTTTAGCTGCGATAAAGAAGCCTTGAGGATATGTCATGATCTCTAGGAGGATGATCTCTTAGCTGCTATAAAATAGCTCCAATCTGGTACAAGCAGGGAGAGATCACGCCCCACCAGAGAGATACAGAGGACGAACCGACTACCGGAGATTACTATTTTTCTTTAATTCTCCATTCTCTCTCTCAAAGCTTGTATCTCTATTCTCCATGCCTTTGAATCAATAAAATACCCGGCAACTGAAGCCATTGAAGAGTGGACGTAGGTCGAATTGACCGAACCACTATAAATTGTGTCTTCTTAAATTTTTTCATTGATTTCACTGCATTTATTATCTACACTTGACAGGTGGTGTGCAAAACCATTTTTGTGCATCATCAGTTTGGCGCCGTCTGTGGGAAACGACAAAATTCTCACTCCTGAACATTACATCCATT